TGCTGGATCCTGTCCTCATTACGATTTTGGCAAAGATGTTCCGTCTCTGAATACAATATTGTAAAAAGGACAGTTTTTTAAAAAAGATAAGTATATGGTTTAATGTTTAGTTTTTTTAAAAGCATAACTACCTTAGCTTGAAAAAACCCTGATGCAAAACTTGTCCTGTGCTAAAGAAAGATTGGAAACTATGATATTACACAAGATGTAGAGATATCAATAAGGCTATTTATAATGTGAACCATCAGGTGTTAACTACCTACCAAGTTTGGAGGTCTATAGTGCAAAGCAAAAAATAAAGGAAGAGGCATTCATTCTGTGACTCCCTCCCACTGTAGGAATAAGGGCAGGGCAGGTTCTTAACAGACATCTTTCGCCTTCCATTGGACAGCCCAAGAGACACGACTTTCCCTTGATTCATACTTCTATTTAGATGCCTGCTAAGATACCTGAATCTTGTTCACCATTAATTAGTCTGGAGGTGCTTAAGCATTGCTATTTTGGAACATGTAAAAGTTACTTAAAAATCAAAAACATAACATTCTTACACAGTCAATTCAGCCCCCCACCTAGAGAAATCTTAGAATTTTGGACAGAGATAGTTCTATGTGTACTATGCCAGTCATTGCACTCCCCCTTGCATGCAATTAATTACTAAATGTGAGTCACAGAAAGTAAAGAAATAGCTTTTAAAAAATAGGGAAAAATCATGTTGGAAGCAATCCAGGGAAAAGGAGTTATCTTCCTTATCCTCTCATTGATCCGAGGAAGAAAACCAAGAAAACCACCAACAGCAATGTCAGTCTGTTCCAGCCTCCTCCATCAGTGTGCTTGGTTTTAGAGAGAAAAGGCCTGGAGAGATGCTCAGAAGTTAGTCTCTGATTCCAAATCAAAAATGCTTGAAAGGGCTTTTCTGCCTTCAACAGTCACTCTATAGTAGTCACTAACTTATTATTTCTGAAAATACAACTCTGAAAACCCAAACTGGAATCTGCCTAACTCTCCAGCTCATCTCCCTCTCTCCAGTCATGGTTTCAATTTGGATAGCAATCCCAGAGAATCAGTTATGAACTGCAGAACTTCACTCATGAATATATCTGTATCTCTGAGGCACTCAGATCACAAATGTATAGTAGTTCCTTGGTCAGATTTAGAAATATTACCTGGTTGGATATTTAGGATTTTATTTAAAAACTTTTTTTACATTATTGTTAAAGTTGAGGCTGATTGTGAATTGTGGAGTATTTAGATACTTATCACTAGGCCTTATTGTGGTCTAAAGTTTCTTGGTTTTTCAATGAACTTGTTTCTTTTCCCCATTTTTTAAAAGAGAAAAACCAAAGGTAGATCAGGAAAGGTCTAGGCTTGCCTGGCCATTTTGGGGGAACCCAGATTTCCTTGAGTGTTGGTTGGTTAATGTAACTAATGTAACTTCTATAATTATTCCTTCATTAACCATTAGATTAAAATTCCTTTGTTCATTTGTTGTCAGTAATAACAAATAATAAAGTCCAGCTGACATTTTATATAATACTTTAAGGCTTGCCAAAGTTTCAAGTAATCTTGCTTGATCCTCACAACAAATATGTGTGTTACTATAATGTGTTATCTCAGTTATTAAACTGGAGAAGAAATTAAGCGATTTGTTCACAGTGACACTACTAGAAAGCAGCAGAATTTATATTTTATTTGTAGAGTAGTTATACTTTATACTGAAACAAATAGTATTCTCTGTCTTGAATTTTATGGTAGGTCGGGGTGGTGATGGGAGCGTAGGTGCTGCACAAGTGATCGTGAAAGCTACTAAGGTACAGAGTTACAATGGAAAATGGTGGAGAAAGCATCCATGTTGGTGAAATCATATATCATTTGAAGTACATTTGAATAGATCTGTGATCTAGTTATTTTGGAAGTTTCTTCCAGTGATGTCCATCCTGTGTAACTCAGGTCCTCTTCCTCCCACAACTCTACCTGCAGGAATCTATTCAACATGCTGGATAGGTCTTTCTTAAATCTAAACATTCTGATGGTGCCAGTAGAGCACATTGGCCATCTACCTCTCACCCCAAACATGTGAAAAGCCCATCTTCTCTTTCTTTTATATAATTCTTTGCTGCCATCTTTTACAATTATTCTTTTGCTTTTATGTTGCAGCCTGTTCATATCCACCTTGAATCTTTCCATTGCCTTTATTGGTAATGCTTGCCTTTAACTTTTTGAAGAGAGTGGTGTTTCAGGTCTTTCTGTCATACAGCAACACCAGTAAAATATTTGTATGCTGTTATGGCAAGTTTGAGGGTTAATAAATATGCTTTGCAATTTCCTGAAAGCTCTACAAGCCTCTCTTCTTTTTCAACTCTGGGCCCAGCTCATTGTCTATCTGTTTGTCTGTTCCAGATATACATGCTATTGGACAAGCTCTATTGGGTATCCATTCAGGGGCATGTCAAAATCTGGGTAGTAGACATTCTTCATTCATTTGGTCTTTCCTGTTTGGGTAGAAAGGGCAAACTCCTTTGAGTGATTACAGATCTTTTCCAAGAGGCTCATGTCTTGGGGCTTCATGCAATCAGCACAATGTCATGTGCAAACAGAAGTATCTGGAGGACCCCATCATCTACTGGGAATCCTTCCTTGATAGGGACTCTTCACTGAATCTTCTCTTTCATGGTGGTATAGTAAAGAATTTTTTTTTTAGCACCATAGCATTGTAGCTAGACGGGACCTCAGAGGTACCTAGTCCAAATCCCTTCAATGGAATGCATTATCTTGCCCCTCAAATCCTCCTCTCTTCTGAACTTCCCCATTACTTTTGAGGGCACTTTTGCAACATCTCACACACATAAGTTGGTAGACTATTACAATAATTAAAGGAAGAAATGACAAGGACCTGAATTAGGGTGGTGACTTATGTGACTGGAGAGAAGATACACATAGACACACACAAGAAATATCATGGAAATAGAAAAGCAAGATTTGGGAACTGATTGGATATCTGGGGTAAGTAGGAGTGAGGAGGTGATGGTGATGTTGAGGTTGCAAAGCTAGATGTCTGGAAGGATAGTGCTTCTCTCAATAATAAGAAAGTTTGAAAGAGGGGTGGAGTTGAGGGAGGGAAAAGAAGAGTTCTGTTTTGGATATGTTGAATTTAAGAAGCCTAGGGGACATCCAGTTCTAAAACAACCATTTTAGTTGAGGCCTGTGGTCTCTTCCCATTCTAATGCATTTTCCACAAAATTGCCAACATGATATTCCTAAAGTATAGATGTCTAACCAAGTCACTGCTCTACACAAGAAACTCTTGTGACTTTCTGTTGACTCTTGGATCAGATATAAAGGCCTCTGTTGCTCTTCACAACCAGGCCCTTTCCTGCCTTTGCAGTCTTACATTTTACTCCCCTGCACACATCCAGCTATGCTGGCCTATTTGCTGTTCCTCTTCCGCAAAACTCCTTCTTAAGTCTCTAGGTCTTTTTGATGGTTGTTTCTCATGCCTGAAATGTTCTTCCTCTTCTCTGATGTTTATTAGAATCTCTGGCTTTCTCCATGACAGCTCAAATCACCCCTTTCTGCAGGAGGCCTTTCCCTGACCTTTCAGATGCTAGTGCCTTCTTCTCCAAGGTTACCTTCCATATATTCTGCACATCTTTATTTACATATCTCTTAGATTTGAAGACCTGCATTGTTTTTGTTTTTCCTTGTATCTCCAGTGATTGATATACAATGTCTGGCACATACTAAAGGCTTAATATATGTTTGTGATTCATTTAGGTGAGCAAACTGATGACCAGGGAAGTTGTGACTTGCTATATATAGGTAACCCAAGTAGTAAATACTCAAGACAGGATTCACACCTTAACCAGGTTATCTCTCATTTCATCTTTTTCCCCCCAAAGGCATTCCCCAGAAATTGTCTGTCTTTTCCTTGAGTCTAAATAAGGAGAAGAAACAGTTTTTTGTTAAGAGAGTAAGGCTGTTTCTCAATAGTTTAGGAGGAAACTAGATTTAAGACTAAAAATGCAATCTATCATTTATTTATCACCCAACTCGGACTGTTCCCAAATACCTTCTCTCAGTGGTGCTAGGTTTGGTTTTGATTTTTTTTTATGAGAAAATAGTCTGTACAAAAATGACTGTCTGAATCCTTATTTCCATGTCGTTACAGGCAGCCTGAGAGGGAATTACTATGGTGTTAAAACATTGGTTTTGGCTACATGATCTCTGTTCCTTTCACTTGTAATTTTCAAGAAAATGTATCCTATGAGGGCTGGATAGAAATAACAGGGTCGTGGCTCTAATCACTTTGGTATTTGCTACACTGAAGAGCCTTATTGTATCCATTTCATGGAGGAAAACTATGAACACATGAAATTAAATTAACCTATAACCAGACTGAGCATCTCTCATTCTCGAAAAAAATAAAAATCCAGATCCAGTTCACCTTCTCTTTCACAATTGGAGGAAGTCAGTCAGAAAGAGTGGACAAACCACGGTGATGAGAGAGACAGAGACAGAAAACCCCTTTCCTTCGTTTCTCCTTCTTCCCCTTCCCCCAATCCCCCTAGGCACCTCCTTTGACTGAGGCGGCAAGCAAGGACTGCAGCAGCTGCAGAGCCCGCGCGCACGCGCGCGCGCGCCCCTGACCTCTCCCTTGGATCTGGGCGGCGGCAGCCGGGCGCGCTTAGCTCCGGGAGCGCGCTCATGCAGCGGTTTTCTTCTCCCACAATCCAGAGGCTTAGGCGCGGGGAGGGGTGGAAAGAGAGGAAAGTAGGCGGAAGGATATCGAGGGCGGAGGGAGCAAGCGCGTTCTCTTTCACGGGAAGGAGGCTGGGGGTGAGGGCGGTGGGGGGGCGGGTGGTATGTGTGAGAAGCAGCTTCAGAGTGTGATGCGGCTCTGCGGTTCGGGAGCCGTTACTCTGGCTCCTCCTGAAGGAGGAGAGGAGGCGGCGGCGGCGGCGGCGGCGGTGGTGGTTGGGGGTGGGCACGGCCGTGATTTAGACCCTGGGTTTCCGAGCCTGTCCAGGCTTAGGGTGGGGGAGACTTGAAGAGGGCCTGGGGTTAGGACAGCGCAGTCGAGCCCCCACCCCTGGAGGGGAAAGGGGCAACCGACGAGGTTTTGGGGCTACGGGAGGAGACATGGTGTTGGTGAAGGAGGAAGGGGGAAAGCGTCGCCTTTGACTGGTGTGCGGCGGCTCGGCAGGCTCGGACGCCCCCTCCCCTTCCCGGTGCGGTCTCCTTCAGCTCTCTGCAGTGGAAGTCGGGGCTGGAACCTCCGCGGAACGCTCGCGGACGGCGGGGCATCTGCGGCGTGCGCTTACTCACGCCGAGAGCCGATTCTTTTTGGGGAGGGGGCTTCTCCCGGAGTGTCTCCTCCCGGAGCCGGGAAGCTCGTAGGGCTTTTTGTCTCCTCAGCCCCAGCCCCCTCCAGATGCCTTTTCTCTGCCCCTCCTCGCCTCGCAGAGACATTTGTGGCGGCGGCGGCTGTTGCTGCTGGCGGCTGCGGAAGCCAGACCCCCGGGGTCCGCGATCGTTTCTCTCTGATTCTTTGAGGAGGGACAGGGCTTCCCTTTCCACCATGAGATTCTGCTCCTCTGCGGAAATGTGGTTTCATTGATTCCAGCTCATTTGGGGAAAGAAAAAAAAAAGAATTAGCGACCTTCCACCAATTCCCTTGGACTACTCTTTTTTTGTTTCCCCCCAAATTGCGCTTAATTTAAAAAACAAAACAAACAAAAAAACCAAAAACAAAACGAACGACATACACACATCTGTAAGATGGAGAATGAGATTTTTACTCCACTCCTGGAACAGTTCATGTCCAGTCCCTTGGTCACTTGGGTAAGTGGTGTTCCCGTTGGCACATTTCGTTTTGGGGGTGGGGGAGCGTGCGTGTTGCCGTAGAGATGGTGGTCGGAGTTTGTTTAATGATGAAGGCCATTATATTTTAGGTTAAAACATTTGGACCTCTGGCCGCAGGAAGTGGGACCAATCTGGATGAATATGTAGCCCTGGTGGATGGTGTATTCTTGAATCAGGTCATGCTACAAATGTAAGTGCCTTTTCCTTTTTTACCGGACATTTGTTTTCTGGTTAAGAACAAACAAACAAACAAAACCATTGTGAACTTCACCTTTTGGGTTTGAACTAATGTTAGACTTTGAAACAGCTTTTTGTCCAGGAAGGTCCATGTGGCCAGCATTGGTCTTTGAAGGAAATGGTCCTGTGCTATCTGTATTTTTTGGTATGATTTTTGAAAATTGTAAGGTGAAACAGAATATCAGTATTTCGAAAAAGTGGCCAAGCATTGGTCTTTGAAGGAAATGGTCCTGTGCTATCTGTATTTTTTGGTATGATTTTTAAAAATTGTAAGGTGAAACAGAATATCAGTATTTCGAAAAATTTTCATTTAACATGCAGAATGTATTGTTCCATGTTTGTTTTAAATGCTGAAAATCAAATCCAAACTATGTCATAATGTAGGTACTACACTTTCCACCCTTCCAAAATAAATTCCACTTTCTGGAAAAAAGGTGGAATGTATCCAGTTTATAAGGAAAAAAAAAACCCGATTTCATATAAAGTACATGAATTTGTTGCATAAACATTTCCTTTGAACCTTTACGACCAAAAAGAAATTACTCAATTTTGAATCTGGTAAAGTAAGAAGATTGTGAAAGATAGAATTTCAGACAATAGAAATGATTGGTGAGGACTATTGATGTGATTCTAAAAGTTTTTAAGAAGCTTATAAAATCTGTGAACTCCTGCCATATTTATTGAGAGGATACATTTTTGGAGAATATTGAAGGTTGAGATGCACAAAGCCTTTTTTTTTTTCCTTAAATGACAGCCGGTAGATTCTAAGTTCTTCAGTAGACACAACTCTTGGAGGAGAGGGACCCTGTAGTTTTTCATTTTTATGTCCACACAGCCAAGCAAAATGCCTTGCAAGTGCAAAAGGTGCTTATTAAATGTTTGAATTGAACTAAATATGACTTAATAGTTAAAAACTCTTTGTTTCTTATGCTCAAACCATATTGTGTTAAGCAGCAAAGGGTGTTGCTGTAGTGGAAGCTGATTATTGAAATCTCATTTTTAACTGATTAAAAGAAAAATAACACTTTGATTTTCATCAATAAAACATATATGTATACTTTGTCTTTTAATAGAGATTGCCAACAATGAAAATGTATTAAGTTTTGGCCAAAGTGTAATCATTCTACCAATGGGAACTAATATTAATTAGCATATGACAATTGGAACATTTGACATCGACTTTTAACATATTTGATACATAGGAATTTAGTGCATTACTGGAATAAACATTTGTTTTTAGAGACATTCCTGAAGAATGACAACTTGCATATTTTTTAGTTTGCTTCTTATGCATAAAATAAGATAGTAGATCATATCTGCAAGTTATTATACTGATAACTTTTCAGTGTATTTGATGGGTATCTTCTAATTCAGTGATTAACCTTTTTTTGTGTCATGGACTCCTTTTGCAATCTGGTGAAGCCAATAGACTTTTCAGAGAATAGTTTTTAAATGCATAAAATAAAATGTGTAAGATTACAAAGGAAATTAATTATTGAAATAAAAATGTAATTTTGTACTGTCCAAATTTACACACCCCCTAAAACCGATCCATTGATCTATAGGGGATTTGTGAACCTTAGGTTAAGAACCCCTCCTCTAAAGTAATTTTTGTGCTATTTTTTCATATCTCTAGCCATAAAGCTATTGGACTGCTTCATATTTTCCCAAGTTACCTTATTTGCAAAATTTGAAATTTTTACATAATTTACTAATAATGTAGTGAATAACATTTGAAAAATTGACTCCTTATTAAATGTTGTAACCATTTTAACCAACAAGTGTTCATTAAGGGCCTACTTTGTGCCAGGCAACTCTGTAAATTGCAGAGTGGCTAATATGCATTTATCAGAGTTTCCTAACTGGAAGTTCCCTGTATCAAAAAAAGAGAAAACAATGCCTGGCACCTTTGTAGGAGCTGGAGATACAAACTTTATAGAAAGATAGGTGTTTGAAAAATGTTTAGTTCTGAGAAGCTTAAGATGTTGAGAATCAAATAAAAAGCATTTGAATTAAACATTTTCAAGGTTGCCTGATAGAAGATAAAATAGCTATAAGTAACTGTGAATGAATGTGTATTTCATCTATGTATTTTACTTTGTTTTCCCAGTTTTTTTTACTTAGGTTTCTATCTAGTCTATGGGAATCTTTTTGACAAGACTTCTTCCAAAATTACAAACTTTTGTAATATTGAGCTATTAAAATAGCAAATTGCTAGGTTAACTAAAATATAGTTCTGTATTAAGTTCAACACATGACAGGAAGGGTTGCTATGACAAAAGATACTCAGAATTTGTTCCCCTTATATTGCCTCACGCATTTAAAAAGAGTAGTATTTTGAACACTTGCATTGGAAACTGAATCATGATTGTTGTGTTCAAGAAAATTGAGTTTTAAAACTAAGAAAGATACAAATTTTAAAGCAGATGACTTCTATTAGATTTTAGAATACAACATTTTTTCTACTTCAAATTTTTTTCTGTTGAAAAGAGTTTCACACATTGCTAAATCTAGCTGCAGTGTTAGGAGACATTGGAGATTATTTTTATTTTTGAGCAGTTTTATATAGTTTGTCTGTGCCTTTAAGTGGGTGGTGTTTCAAGATAGTGTCTGGTAGTCTTTTTTGGAGATTAACTTGTTCCTAAACCTCAGTTTCTTCAAATCTGCTTCTGTGTTTTCAGTTCCACCTCTTAGTTTCTCTAAATAGTCTCCCTACATAAAGCTTCTACAGTATGTTAAATTCTGCTCTGAGTAACTCATGTTATTTGTTGTTTTAAAATATCTAGTCTGTTAATTGAAAAATATACAAAGAAAATGCAAAAAAGAGGAAGTTCTGTTTTTTTTTGCCAAGATTTTCTAGCAAACTATGTACAAATTTGTTTTAGTCATTAGTTTAAATCATTTACTTTGGAAATAAATTTTTTTGCCTACTCTTTTGTTTTTTGAGGACCTGCTTAACATTGAGTATAATAATTGAGTATTAATTTGTTGAAATTTTAGATATTCTTTATGTAGTAACCTAAACCAAATCTGTCAGCTTAATTTCCAGATAACATTTAGGTTACAGCCTTTTAAAATAAACTTCTTTTGCTACTTTTAATAAGTAGCCATATAGTACCTATTTTTAAAGCATTTTGTTGATGGTTGGTAGTATTTTTCTGTCTGTGACCTACATATATATATATATATGCTAGTGCAATTTAAGAACTATGCCATAATATTTTATCTACTACCTTTATATTACACGTGTATTAATGGCATTAAGGATGCTGGCTTGGGGTATGGTTTTTTTAAAATACAAATAGAGCAAAAAGAGGGTTTCTTGAGGGAACTGTTAACTGGATATGGTGATCCATGTGGTTGACTGCCTTCATTATTTAGGGTTCTGTGTTCACATAGAAAGATAACAAGTGCAGAGTTGAATCATGGAATTCATTTAGTAGTTTCTTAATTCAAGTGAACATGGCATGAATTCTCCTCTACTTGGAAGTCACAGGGAGAATTGGAGTGATTAGCTAACTACATATTGTGGTGGCATTTTCCTACTTTTATAACTGATTGGTTTTTCCTCAGTGTTTTTTAACAAACAGATATGACAGTGATCCTAAAAAAGAAAACCATCATCATCATCTGGTTAGAGATGTCATTCTGTAATCATCTTTGTGCAAGATTTCTACTTTAGTAGATCTGGGATCTCATTAATATGGATATTCCCTCTAATTGTACTGATCTTAACCCATGTACACCCTCTAGTTCTGTTTAATTTTTACTCATGCCCTGCTCAAAATCCTCTGTAGAATACCTACATAATACTGGATGATTTCAGATAGGTTTTTAACATTCTCTAGGTACCAGTCCATTGCTAAGGCTATTCATCTTTTATGGTGACTTGATCAGCCTACTATCTCTATTGTGTTATTTTGACGATATCTTTTGCTTTGCTTTGTGTGTCCAAGTTGCATATTGCAGTGTAATGCTTCCATTGGCCTAGAAAACATTTGAGAGGGGGTAGGAGGGAAGAGATGGGACATAATTGTTTTCAAAGTTTGAAAGACTGTCCTGGGAAAGAAGGATTAGCTAGCTTCTGACTTGTGGGAAAAACTAGAAGTGAGTTGAACTTGCTAAGAGACATATTTAGGCATAGAGGAGATTCTTATTCAGGTTTGGGCTGTACTAGTTGACTAAATCTTGTAACTTTTCTGGACCTCAGTTTCCTTATCTGTAAAATGAGGTTCCCAACTCAGAGCTTCTATGATTCTTTGTGACTTGTCTTGGGATCACTCAAGAGTTTTTACTTGAAGACTCTTGTGCTCCCTAATTCACAACCATGTATTGTCACTGGAAGAGTATTGGTATTAAAATGGGTTTTTATCTCATGGGTGAGTATGATATCATTGAAAATGCTTCACAGCTCCCTAAATGCAATCTGGCCTTGATTCTTTCTCCTTTTTAAATTTAGGCCCATCTCAATTGTCATCTGCATTATCTCAGGTATATATACACTGATGGACTAATTCAGTCAGCTGCCTGTCGTTTGCATGTGATAGTCTGGGCAATGGGCCCTCTTCATCTATTTTTTTTTCCTATATAGCTTGTTAAATAAATCTCTACTGAATAACTGTGACCCTAATTGAGGAGGCTTTTTCTGGATCTTGATTGAATCAGTATAAATGTTATTCACAAACAGGAGAATGTATGAAATTTTGCCATTTATAGGGAATTATTATTTAACTTGGACTCTGTTTAAGATGTACTTGTGATAATTGTGAACACTTTTGATGAACATAAATGTTGTTTTATGCATCACAAAGCAAGGTGAATGGTTAGCCACATTACCTAAACAGCTAATTTGAGTTGTAAAATTAAGGACTATGTTGACTTTTTTTTTTTAGGATTTTGAACACTAATGGAGAAATTAGTAGAACACCCTCTTTAAGTATCTTTCATGTACAT